AAAAATTCAGGGCGCAGACTCAAGGAGGAGTGGTCACACCTTGGAGGCGGGTAGCCTTTGGGATGGAGGTGTGTTTTGGTATTATAATGACCACTAAAGGACAGCATTCTGTCAAAAAAGTGACAGATTGTTGGCTCAGGGTAACAAGTAGACAGTTTATCAGTTCTATAAGACCTTCGAGGACTCTATTTGGTCCCCAAGTCCCCAGTTTATCACAGGGTTTTAGCCGCAGTGTCTCCACTCTGTCCCATCCTTTGCACTGTCTTCCTTCTGTGGTGCCATCTCGTTCCCATGTCTGCTGGATTATCACAGGGTTTGGCCTTGGAGTCTCCACCCCACTCCACTCCCCGTGTTGCTTTGCAAGCAATAGTGTACAGGGATTCCCAGATATAGCCGATTCTTCACATACCAGCTGCAGCTGTATCTTACCCTAGAAGCCTTTTGATTTTATACCTTTCCTTAATGTGTGACAAATGCTGTATTATCGATCATTTTTAGTAATCATTCCACAACTGCGTGTATTGGTATAGATGCACTTCAGATGAGCTAATGGTTTCACAGAGTAGCACACAGAGGACTCGGGAGAGCTATTCGAAACAGTTATTTTAGATTTTATGGTTCTTCTGTATACTTGCCAACATAGGTCCATGCACATGTGAAAGGGTTGTGCAACCACATGCACAAACCCAGGTTTGAATATCTCCAAGAATGGAGACTATACAGCCTCAGGTAGTTAAACACACTGACAAATCCCCCCATAACTTTTTCCTCTCTATGCTGAACAAACACAGTTCTCTCTGGCTCTGCTTGTATGTCAGGTGCTCCCTTCCTCATCTCCATGGCCCTTCATTGCATTTGCTCTGGTATGTCCATGTCTTCCCTGTGCTGGGGAGCCAAAGACTGGACGCAGCAGTCCACAGTCTCTGCAGTGCTTTGCTCAAGAGCAGTCCACCCCAACAAGCAAGGAGTCAGGGGAACATGCCAGAGGCCTGCATGGATAAACCAGGCTAGGGCAAATGCTGGCCCACTGCTGACTGGGTGGGGATGTGGTGACACAGGACATGGACAAGGGCTGAGATTCTGAATGCCTTATTGTCCTGCTGCTGGTGGGGATAGGGTTAATTTTCACAAAGAGCTGGGAAAGGACACAGTCCTTTTAGCTGACCCAAAATGGGTATTCGTGACCATGTGATGCCATGATCAGTACAGAGCCGTGGAGGTGGCTGAGGGCAGGGGTCGGCGGGGGCAGAAAGCACCACTTGGGAGCAGACTGGGATTCGGGTTCTGGTCAATGAATGCATGTGCATTAATCATGTTTTCTATAATCCTCTATCAGTATTATTGTTGTTTCCCTCTTTCTTTCTTCCCTCACTTTCAGTTTCTGATAAACTGCCTTTATCTCAACCCACGAGTTTTGCCTTCGTCTTCCGATTCTCCCTCGATCCCATCCTGGGTGTGGGGATGAGTGAGTGAAAAGACCCCGTGGTTCCTTGTTAGCAGCTGGGACTAAACCACGACACTTGTTCACCTCAGTCTTTACAAGCAAAACCATACCTCAGGAATCCCAGGTCCCAGAGTCCAGGGAGAAAGGCTGGAGCAAGGAACCCACACAGTCCCCATCAGGGAGCACTTCTCTAGTCCATCATAAGTGGCTTTGTCTCTGCCATTTCCAGGGAAGCCAGGGATGAAAGTGTTGCTAAGTTGAGAATGCACAAAGTCCCCTCTCTCCTCATCTCCAAATACCGTCGTCTCATTCTAGAAGGCTTTAATTTAGGTTAAGTGTGATTTTGGCTTCACAAAGCCATGGTGAGTGTCAGTGAGGAAAGAGGGGGGGGAGGTGCTCCAGGCATCGGAGCAGAGATTCCCCTGCAGTCCATGGTGAAGATCATGGTGACACAGGTTGTCCCCCTGCAGACCATGGAGGTTAATGGTGGAGCACCTATCCACCCTGCAGCCTGCTGAGGAGCCCACACCGGAGCAGGTGGATGTTCCCAGAAGGAAGCTGTGACCCCGTGGAGAGGTCATGCTGGAGAAGGCTCCTGGCAGGAACAGGGGTCCTGTGGAGAGGAGCCCACGCTCGAGCTGGTTTTCTGGGAGGACCTGCACCCCGCAGGAGACACACACTGGAGCAGCCTGTTCCTGAAGGACTGCACCCCATGGAAAGGACCCATGCTAGAAGAGTTTGTGAAGAACTGCAGCCCATGGGATAGACTCACATTGGAGAAGTTCATGAGGAACTGTGTCCCGTGGCTCAGACTCCACACTAGAACAGGGGAAGAGCATGAGGCAGAGAAAACATGTGATTAACTGACAGCAACCCCCATTCCCACTGTGCTGCTAAGGCGGTGGAGGTGGAGAACTCTGAAGTGTAGCCCAGGAAGAAGGGAGAGGTGGCGGGAAGGTATTTTTAGATTTCTTCTTATTTCTTATTACCCTACTCTGATTGGACTGATGATAAATTCCATCAATTTCCCCAAGTCAAGTCTATTTGGCCTGTGGTGGCAATATGTGAGTCATATCCCTGTGCTTATCTTGACCCAGAGCCTTTCATTGTATTTCATCCACTTTTCCCATGGAGGAGAGGGACTGATAGAGTGGCTTGCTGGGCACCTGGTGGACAGACAAGGTCAACCCACCACACCTTGTCTACTTCCTCTTCCTCATCAGGTGATCTGTAGCAGCCACCTACTATAATGTCACCCATGCGGAGCTGCCCTCTCTCTTTCTGATCAGTCTGGCTCCATCCACTGTGGGACTCCTATAAGCTACCGCACCGCATCTCCATGATCCCATAGCTCTGCACCCAAGCCACACAGGACAAACTGGGCCTTGCTGGACAGCAGTCCCAGGCATGTGCTATAACCTGCACTTCACCATACAGATGCTGAAGTTCCCACAAGAGATCCTCCTGCATCATAAAAAGTCTCAGCCCGTCACCCACACTTCCCTTAACTGCTTCTGACTGCAAACACACCAAAGGTCTGTTTCCTGCACCTGCCAATATGTGACACCAATCACTGTTAGCAGCTGCTGGAGAGAAATGATGAATAGTCTGTAATCTCTGTCAGTTGGTTTTGGGTCCACTCTGCTGCAGAGCTGCTCCAGGGTGAGCCTAGCACCACAGTAATACACTGCTTCGTCTCCTGGCTGTGCTGCCTGGATCTGCAGTGTGAATCTGTTCTGGGAACTCTCCACTGATCCCTTAAAGCGATCCTGGAAACCTTCTCCATAGGCACCACCTTCCTCATAAATCCAGTCGAGAGAGCCACACGGCCCCTGCCGGTACCACAACATGTAGTAGCTGCTCATACTGTCTCCACTCATGCTGCACTGGAACGTGACCCCATCTCCTTCTCGAACGGCCAGTTCCCTGCTGTATTGCTCCAAGGCCACCTGGCCAGTGACTGCTGCAGAGAGTGAGAACAAGCCATGAGCACTCCAAGATTCAGAAAAGGTCAGGGCAACACTTGGGGGCATTGTGATGGCACTGGACCAGTGGGACGACTAAATTGTTCTCTTAGAACCCAGCTGACAGAGACGGGCAGAGGAATGAAGTTGGTACCAGGAATCAGGGCTCACAAGGAGAGAGACACCCCATTTTCCTCCCTCCTTTTCAGGATTTTTCTCATTTTTCCATTTG